TGGTACATAGAGCAAAAGCTATCATTGAGTTAAAATTCTCATGTGCTTGTCTGTAGGCAATATCAGAGTCATAAGCACTGAAAATTTTTACTTGACGCTTTTCTTCAAGTTACACTAGAAAGTGTTTATGGTGCTTATTTTACTTTTCTTTAAAAATAAGATGTACCGCTAGTTTTTTTGCTTGGTATACAAGAAAACAAACCGAGCTATCGGGATTTGAAGGCATTTACAATGAATGTCAAGTGTTCATACTTCAAAAATTCAACAGCATTTATTTTTTTTTTGTTATGATTGGATAGAGCTCTGCGAGATACATTCAAAAGAACAAGCTCAAGATACCTTTATTCCTGGATGTAAGAGTAATAGATACAAAATTTTGACTTTTGTACAATCGCTGCTTGTTGAATATGTCTAATATTGTCTTTTCTTGTGTAATTTATCGAGCTCTATCCAACCATGACGAAAAAAAACTTAAAAAAAAATAAATACTGTTTAAATTTTGAAGTATAACTATATGACATCAATTGTAAATACCTTGAAATTGGAATTTATCGGTTTCATGCATGCTATGGATGGCTCATATTTTAAATTAGTTAGTTTGATAATGAAAGCATTCATTGGATGAGAATATGATCAATCTTTTGAATTTACAATATACTACATTCCTCTGTCAGTTAGAAAAAACATAGGTGACTTGAAAACTTTTCTCAAGATAATTAGTATCTATACTTACAATAGATTTGTTAAAATTCAAAGTCGATATTTTCAATAATATAACGAATTAAAAGTTCTCAAGTGCGTTGTTTTCCTAATTATTTTGGTTCGATATTTATACCAATTTGAAGATGGCTATGATAAATATTTACATTTATAAACTTTTACATTCAAAAAACTTGGTTTTTGCCATCAATATTTAAAACATTCATAAAAGTCATGCTTGATTGCTTCTCACACTTTTATTCTCTATTTATAGTTCTAATTTTTTTGTGACTCATGAAATTTCTTCTTCTTTATATGATACATATATATAAATTAATTAATAATTTGTTATCACAAAAAAATATAATGAGCTACCAAAATGAATTATAAAGTAAAGTTTTTTTTACTGAGATATTTAAATGAGGGTATTTATTTAAAAATGGTTTATATATAGTTTGACTTTAGTTGAAAATCATGAAAATTTGTTAATGTAAATCGATCTCATTTGGTTGTTTCATTTATAGAATAACTCGTTGTTTTTTTTTTTTTACTTTTTGAACTAATGTCTGCTAAAAGAAAAGCAACGGTTATTGAATTCTATCAAGAATACTCATAGAGAGCTATTCATTTGAGAGATTTATAATAAAATATCAATGATAAACTCAAAAAACAAATATAAATACAAAGAAAAATGTATAATTTATTCCTAACATGTCACGATAACAAAACAATAAACAAGTAAAAAAAGAATTCTTTTCTTTATCATTAAACATAGTTCATATATCAATAACATGATTCATTTTCTATCCATAAAAAAAAATACGTATTAAAAATTGATATTAAAATAATAATAAAATCATGTTTCTAGTTATGATATAATCCTCAATATGCAAACAACTGGTGTATTCTGTTCTGTGTTTTATCTATACAAAAAAAACAAACTGTTTGCCTCTCATTTTCGTATGTTAATGCATATTGTATGTCCTCTGAATACGAACACAAGCAAAGAGTGTATAAAGCATAAACATATGCATATATTTTGGTTATGGTTGAATACACTTGCATACATACACTAACGTTATCATCCTTTCATTTGCAATCACCATATAACACAAGAGCGAAATATTTTCTTGTGAAAGTGAATTTGGTTTGTTTTTTTTTTTCTCTTTACTGTAATATATAAAAATGTTGTGTTTGTTTATTGCTATTTGATTGAAATAGATAAAATGAATGGAAATAATACTGGACAAGGAAAAAATCAAGATGATATTCGTGTACTTCCACCAAGTCCATATACAGAAGTTTCAAAAGCTGGTTTTCTAAAAGAAAAAACAACTCCTTTAAATGAAGAAATAATTCAAACAAATAAAAAATTAGACAAATCAAGAACAAACTTTTTATATGATCCACGTAGAAAAACAATACTTGGTCGTAGTTCTCTTAATTGGCGTAAGTTGAAAGTAAAATGAATCAAAAAATATTACTTATTTATATATATATATTTTAGTTAGATTAGCTGCATTTTATACAGTATTTTATTTTTGTTTGGGAATGTTTTTTGTTCTTTTACTATACGTATTTGCTTTAATGCTTGATCGTGAAATACCAACATACTATAACAAGGATAGTACAATGGCTGTACGAACAACAGCTACTGTTGGTTTGTACAAAAAAAAACAAATAAATGAAATAAATATTTTAAAATCATTTTTCCTATCTTTGTTAATGTAGTTGGAATGGGTTTTCGACCTCAACCAGAAGTTGATGATAGTCTTATTCGAGTAACAAATAATGAACATGAACAAAGACGTATTGCTTCATCACTTCGATTATTTCGTGATAGTTAGTTATATTGTTGTATTTTTCTTTTGAGAAAAAAAAAAGTATTTTCTTTTTATTTTCTTTGTAGTTTATCTTATTCAAAAAACTGATGCTAGAACAGAAGAATGTTCAGAAAAAGAAACATCAGCAGACTTAGTACCCGGTACAGCATGTACATTTAATTGGTTTCATATTGTTAAAACACAAGATCATCCATGTTCGGATAATAATATGTATGGTTTTAAAAATGAAGAACCATGTGTTCTTGTTAAATTAAATAAAGTATTCAATAATTTGTTTTTGTTCAAAGAAAAAAAAAATGAATTCTTTATAGGTCTATGGATGGACACCAATAAAGGGTCCTTTACCATTACGTATACAACACCTTCAAAATATCAACAGTAATAAAAGTATAGCAAAATCTCATGTTTACATTACATGTGAAGGATCGGTATGTTACAGATGAAAGACATTTGATCTTTCTTTTGAATAGATGCATAGTTATCAAAACATAGTAATTTAATGTATTCTCCATCAAAAATTTCTTTCGTTGTTAACCAATCTTCTTTTCTTTCAAAAAAAAAATCATCATTAAAAACATGTCGTTTAAATTATGTTTTTTTTTTTTCTTATGAAAATAGAATCCAGCTGATAGAGATGCTTTAAGTGGTATAATATATTATTCATTGGGTGATCCATCTGGTTCTAAAATATATGGTGTTATACCAAATTATTACTTTCCATATCGGTAAGCTTTTATAAATTTATAAGAAAAGGCCAATATTGTTCTATGTTTTTTTATATAATAGAAATGCTCCTGATCATGTTCAACCATTTGTATTAGTTCAATTTAAAAATTTACCATTAAATCGTCTTCTTAGTATAACATGTCGAGCTTGGGCACCAGGTATTCAACATGATTCAAGAGGTATGCGTGGTATGGTTTCATTTCAATTATTTCGTTCACAAGTATCTGGAACAACAAATGTTGATGCTAGTTAGGAAAAGCAAAATATCATTTTAAACTAAATTAATTTTTAATTTTTCTTTTGCGCTCTTTTTTTCTTTTTTTGTCTTTTTTGTTTACAGTAGAGGTTTAGTTTACTTTCTTGTTTAAATAAATGAAATATGGGTTCGAACAAAAAAAAAAATAATAATAATTAGAATAAAATAAAGGTGTGAAATACAGATGTTGTTTATATTTCGTATTTAATTTAGTCTAAATATATATATATATGTATGAATTATTCACTTTTGAATAAATTAATAAATATTCTTTTTCGATATACGTAAAAACTAAGAGCACTATGCAAAATATATGTTGTATGCATGTTTTTTTTCTATATTATAAAAAATCAAGTAATCATGGTCATGTTCTCTTACTTTTTCAACAAACATGTAATTTAATCGTTTCTTTTTTTTTCTTCTATTGAAGTCGATCTTTCGCCTTTCTAAAGTCCTTGATTATTTAAAGAATGGTTGTTATTCATATTTTTATACGACTTTTTTCATTCAGATAAATCAACGACACCTGTGTGTAAAAATCATGCTCTATTATTTTGCTTGTCAATACTTACAAATTACAGCCATAAAAAAAATAAAGCTTCTTTACTTTCTTGCGATATATATTATGGTAATTATTTTTTGATTTTTCTTTTTTTTTAAAGGCTCGTAATCTGACACGAACTTCAAATTAACATCAAATGATTGCACAATGTATTTTTACTTCAGTCGTTTTTTTTCCTTTTCACTAACTCAATATTAGTATACAACGAAAGAAAGAAAAGAGAAAAATAGAGTGATGTTATACAAGTAGAAGATTAGTATGTAATGAAGAACGACACATAATATATCAGGTAAGGTTGATAATATATATAGGAAGATTATGAAGGTAGTAATTTTCATGTCATTTCATAGAGAAATCCTTGACTAAAAAGCTTTTTTGTTTAATATAAATAATATTTGTATATGAATGTTATTTACAAGAAACAATCGATATTATATATTATTAAAAATATATTATAGTTATTAAAATATTGTTTTTCTTTTACTCACATTATTCAATGCATAGAAAATCAAAAATAATATTTGATCGAACCCGAATTCATAGATTACAGTAAGCGAATCATCTTATATATCATATCAATTAAATAAAACTTCAAGACTGAAGACTAAAATATGCATCGTTTATTGGCTCAGTAAATTATATGGCTTGAGTTATATTTCACACTAAATGTCATTCTCTTTTTGAGACTAGGATTGAATTAACTACTGTGACATTTTTACTTGACTTGAGTTCATAGTACTTGAAGTTTATTAGTTGAATTCTTAATATCTAATTGATAAATTTTTTTGATTCACTCTCAAGTCTAATCTTCAAAATATTGCAATTGATGAAATACGATTGTTTTTTTTTTCTAATTATCATTTTAGAGAAATAATGACGAAAATAATTATTGTTTTTGTATAATAAGCAATGAATGCCGCGTACATCATTCAATGGTTGGAAGTATTTTTTATTAATAATATGTTTCTTTTTTATTGGTTTTTTTCTTGGTTTACATTATTGGGAATTTATTCTTCGAAATGATTGTTCATCATCATATTTATCATTTTTTCCAAAACCAATAATTATTAAATCAATGCCATTTTATAATCATTTTCAATATCGAACAATTCATACATGTCAAAATCAAACATCAAATATATTTTTAACTATTGCTGTTTTATCATCACATGAACGTTTATTAGAATATTTACCAGCTATATTTGAAACATGGTTATTAACAACAACAATTGAAATTGAAATAATTATATTTCTTGAAGAAAAATCTTTAAATATAGAAAATTTTATAGAAAAATTTTTTTTTAAATCAAATCAAAATATTCAATCGTGTTGTTTTATTGTTAAATTAAAACATGTAGAAAATGAATATCCACCACAGAAAAAAAGTTTCTATGCTATGAAATTTCTTTATACATATTATCGACATAGAACATCATGGATATTACGTTTAGATGATAATGCTTATGTTAATATTCCTGATTTAATTAAATGGCTTAAATCAATTGATCATCAACGAGCTTTATATATAGGACAAGGTGGTACAGGAAGAAAAAGTGAATCGACTATTTATTTTCCACCGGGAAAGGTAATAAAATAAATAAACAAAGCTTCTATTTTCTTTTTATGTTTTTTTTTTTAGTATTTTTGTATGGGTGGAAGTGGAGTAATACTTTCACAAAAAACTCTTATACAATTAGGACCATGGCTTGATCAATGTTTTAAATCAGAACTTCGTACAAATCATGAAGATGTTGAATTAGGTCGATGTATTTTAATACATGTTCATATTGATTGTACTAATGCATATAATTCAAAATTGTTATTTTATCATCATTATGGTCCTAGTTATTTATTTGGTTTTGGTTTTACACCATCGATTGTTTCTCGAGCATTGATCCTTCATCCAATTAAAAATCGTACAATATTTCAACAATTATATAAATTTTATTATCGAGAACAACAAAAAAAACTTCAATTATCTACATGGAAATCATCAAATAAACAAAATTATGTTACATTTTTAAATAATATGGAATTTGATCTTGTACGAGATATACATTATCAATTAATTGATGCACGTTGGAAATCATATATTAATACAAGTGTTCAATCTTATATAGAACATTTACAGAAACTTTGGCATCAACGTTCTAGTAATTGGACAGTGACTAATGGTAAATTTTTGTTAGGTTATCATCGTGTAATACCACGATATGGTTTAGAATTAATAGTTGAAGTATTGTTGAATGTTCGTACAGTTTCTATTTTATCACCTCGATCAACTGTTATTAGAAAACGTTTTCATCTCCGTCAATCATTCGTTGATAAACATAAAATTGATTCTCGAGAAATAACTAATCTTAATTTAAATCAACAAGAATATCAATTAAATCTAATAGTTGTTTCAAATAATAGAGATAAAGCATTATTAAGATTTATTCATAATTTTCAACATGAAATACTTTATTATCCTGATCAACAACAACAACATTTTACTTTAACAATACTTTATTTTCAACAAAAAAATTCAATAATTGATCAAATATATAAATTAATAGTCAGATATTCAACATCTATTCGTTTATCAATTATTAATGAAACTCAACATGCATATAATCGTGGTCTTGGTCGTCAATTAGCATCAAAATATTTTTCTAATAATCAATTATTATTTTTTCTTGATGTAGATATTATATTTACAAGACAGTCATTAATTAATACTCGTCGTTTAATGATTCATCAATTATCAATATCATTTTGTACAGTATATTTTCCAATAATTTATTCATTTTTTTCAAATATATCTATTGTTAATAATCATTCAATAAATGATGTACGAACTAATTTTGGTTTATTTTCTATTTATGGTTTTGGAAATGTAGCTGTACGTAAACAAGATTTAGATAGAATTGGTGGATGGGAAATAAATAATCATGATTGGGGAGTTGAAGATGGTAATTTATTTCAACAATTTGTTAATATTTCATCTGAATGTTATGTATTTCGTGCTGTTGAACCTGGTTTAAAACATGCATATCATAAAAAAATGTGCAATGGTATTAAAGATCAAGCACGATTTAACATGTGTTATTATGCAGAAGTTAATTTACTTAGATCACAAGCAGATATGGTTGATTATTTATTGAATAACAAGATTTTGAATGATTAAAATTGATTAAAGAATTTTATTTTTTTTTTTGTTATTAGAATAAAATAATAGGACCTATTCATTTGTCAAGGCGAAATTGTTTTATGACATTGAACAATACGAATATGACCATCTTGTAGGATAATATTGATAGCATACAAAAATGCAATTTTGATCTATGTCATTTCATAATTCGTATAGAAAAAAAAAATGCTATTACAGATATATTACTCAGAATGAGTCAAAATCAATAGTAGTCATAGGTTGTTATTTTCGGATTTTTCATGTAAATAAATATGAATTTTATTTAAGACGATCTCATGTTCCAAAACTTTTTGAAAGAGACTCTTGAAATATGACAGGAGATGTAACGAGAAAACATTCGCAAATATCCATGTCCATTTGAACCGATGTTTTGTTCATGAGTAAGTAAGCCTTGTTGAGTTATAAAAAGCGTTCAAAGATTTTGTGTCCATGTACATGAAAGTACTAGCAAATGTTCTTTTTGATTACTCTTAAAAAGTAGAAGATTGTAAATCTTTTTGAAGGTGAACTTAATAATAAGTAGATCATACTAGACTTTCTAATGTTGTAATCTTCAGAAGTTCGCAAATGATAACATAAACTGTTTGAAAACTTTGCATAATTTACTAAAACTTATTTTCACGCATATCACTATCGGATCGACAATTAGTTGAAACTTGGAATGTGAATGAAGAGAAGATTCACATCCATATCAAATGAGTACAATCATTGTAATTATCTTTCACACAACGCCAAACTAATCTATCCCAATGGTAACGAAAACCATCGAGAAGAAGTGAATCCTTGACATTGACTGATTTAATGAGAGACATATTTTTATAGAATTAAATGTAAAAATCTAATTTTAATTTTTAATTTTGAAGCATTTATTTAATAACTGTTAACATATTATCAATCGAAATAAGAAGAGACGTAATAATAAAATGTGAAAATTAGATCAAAGATCAAGCACATGGAAGGCAGAATAAGAGAAAAAATGTTTTATTTTCTTATTCTGTGACCTAAATGTACCCGATTATTAATGTACATTTTACAATCTATTATCACGTCTTTTCTTATTTCGACTGATAATATGTTAACAGTTATTAACTAAATGTTTCAAAATTAAACATAAAATGTATCATTTGATAATAATTCCTATGATCTTTATTATGGCATTTTTTTTATTTAAGAAGTCGTCAGAATTATATATATATGCATACTGATGCTTGTATTTGTTCTACTTTGTCTTATTTTTATCTTGTTTTTTATATTAATTGTTATAAGTTTTTACTAGATATTAAGTGATCTTATGATCTTGATAACTTTTTTGTTTTTTTAATATTGATTGCTTCAATAATATAAGCAGAGCATCTTTCTTTTATTCTTACTGGTGAGTTTAGATAATCCGATAATATGGGAACTGAATAGATCATAAAAGTCTGAGAAAATTATTAACTGAAAATTAAAAAGCAAAAAAAATTTCATTTTGTACGTAAGTGTTATGTCACGAAATTTTATTTCTTGTAGAAAGAGTGAAATGAAGAAATCATCATCGAGCAACTAAGTTACTTTGTGCGAAAAAATTCAAAGCTCACTTTTCTCGTATATTTGTTATTTTAGACATGTTTAGATAGGCGAAGAGATTTTAGAACCTCATTGCTTTATTATCGAGTTTGATTATGAAAGTTTCAACTTATTTTCACGACCATGATTGAGAGTAGAATTTCGATGGTAATATCTTATATGCACCTTATGGTTTCATAATGGACTTTTAACGTATTTCAAAAGACGATGAAAAATGTGTTTTTACGATTGTTTTTGCACACAAATATTTTCAATTTATTTGTTCTGAAGAAATGAACGTTGAAGATAACATGGCCAACTTTAAAAATGTGATTCCGCCAACAAGCTTTATTCATTCTCAAAAGCCATTCTTTTATATTTTTTTTCTTTTTCACTATGTATAGTGCACCATTTAACAGCAAGTTTTCTCTATGTCGCTTTCATTGAAATAAATTTTTCAATTCTTTACACAAGGTTCAAGCTCGATACCTATTTTTTATGATTTCATCACGATTGAACATGTGGTAATGATTAGGTCAAGGGCGAAAAAACCTGATTCTGTGATGATAGAATCATTGGAATCAGGTATAATCAATGGAATCACTCAGAATCAATTGGAGTCAATCGGAGTCACTGAAGAGCCTGAGTGATTCCGAATGATTCCACCAACTTTAGCTGATTCTACTGACTCCGAGTGACTCTATTGTCTCCGAGTAATTCTATTGACTCTGAATGATTCTATAGTGTTGGAATCAATAGAATCATGGAATCCAGGAATCATCTTTTTCTTCCTTGGATTAGGTCTTGTTTCGTCGAATTTTTTTTCTAGTGTTTTCGTTTCGTAGAAAAATAAAGTGCAATGAAAAGAAAAAGAATAGATTACTCTGCTTGATTAGATTTTTTTAAACAGACTAATCAAAGATAATGGTTAATAAGTCTACAAAATTTTTTTAACAAAAGTACTTATTAGAGAATAGTATTAGATACGCATATAGAGTATATTAAAGAAGAAAACGCTTGTAGAACAACAACAAAAAAACAATATGTTTTTTATACTGATCCAAGTGCATAACTTTTTTGCTTTGATCCTGCTTTTTTTGTCATTACAAGTTATTTTTGCGACGAAACGGGAATTCATCGTGGTAATATTATTTTACCTCTTTCACAGACGTTCGTTGAACCGCTAAAAAGCTATTCTTCTACCACCTAACCTTACTGTGGCCCGCCTTATTTCATAAGCAATATGAGAAGTGACATGTTTTTTCAAAATTTTCGAGCACATATAATAGATAAATTTGGTCGCTTTTGTCTAATTGAAAACACTTCTTCTAATAATTAATTGAAGGGCTTGCAAAATTTTTCCACTTGCATACTTTACATGGTCACAGATGTACACGATCATAATATTGGGCTAGATGAATCATCAAAGTAGAATTGTATGTGATATAACAAGGTTATTTAGTGCATAAACAGATTTCATATTTTTTATCCTGGGCCTGCATCACACCCACCATTTTATTTTCATGATACTAAATAAAGTAGATCAATTTCACGTAGGGTATGTGAAAAAATAAAAAAAATTAACAATAAATATTTATTTTTGTCGATTTACTTATGTTAAAAAAAAACAGCATTTTCAAAACAACGAAAAAATCGTGAAATCTCGTAGTGTTATGCAATTGTTCTGCTGCTGAAAATTTTAGCAGCATTTGATGGTAGGATGAGGAAGGACAGGATGACATTACGACTTGCGGATATATGATGTATCATGAGAAAAAGATTTTTTCAGAGTCATAAGTTTATCCATCGATAGAAATGAGTCTCTACAAAATGTGATTATTACTTAATTGATATATTAGTACTTATAATAAGTATATGATTAATATAATTCGTTCAGAAATCATGCTACTGTACTCCTTTGCTATACTACTAGAGATATCTATGAAGACGTATTTTCTCATTTGAAATCTTCATAATGACATAAATAGTGCCGTTTATTAGAATATAAGAATAGATCGGAAAGTGTTAGTACGAATCTTCTCAAAATGTGATTTGTGAGATTTTAATCTTAATAATTATTAACCCTTCATATTTGATTACATCTTTTTTCACAGAAGTCCTCAATAAAATCTAAATTTTAACTCTTAAAATTGACAGTATTAAACAATAAAATTATTCTTTTTTTCTTTTATTTATCTTTCTTCTAATTGAAAGTCGTGAGTAATTAAATGTGTTCACCAGATACTAATGACTGAAATATAGATTATTTGTCATAAATACCAATGTCTTTCGTGATTCGCCGATAAATGCAAATATATTGGAAGATTCTAGTGAGTAATGTTCTTAATCTCAGCACAATTTTATGCACTTTTCATCGAAAATTATATTTGAATGACGTCAAAACGACGCAACGAACGCAAGGAATAATATATCTGCTTTACGCCTACTTTACATACATTCTACTTATCTATTCTTTTCTATTTTATGCGCAATCATCATTCATCAATAAGCTAATTTTTGTATTTACTTAGATAAATGAATACGCACTAAAAGAAAAAAAAACTAAGTTTTTACATAATATCTCATTGAAAAACTATCATGAAATAATTCAAAAATTTATTCCAATACTTTTATTTACATCGATTTTATAATTATTGATTTTATTTGTTTCATTATTTAATAATTTCCTTTTTAACAGATTTCTTTTTCATTGACAACAAAGTATGTTGATTCGTCTTTTTTTTGTACATTCCTTTCTTCTTCTACTTCTTTCTATTGTATGTAACTAATCAATACTGTCAAATTGAAAATTTTTCAAAAAGAAAACAAGAATAATAAAACTTGTCTGATGTATGCATCGACAAGTAACGCTAAAATAAAATCACATGTTGATGTCATTTAACATTTCTATACACAAAGAATAGTTGAAATCAACACAATGACTGATGTAACACAGCCGTTACCTTCAAGATATACTCGAAGTCGTACGGCAACAGCTAAAGTTAAGGTTATTAATGATCTAGCAGCATCAACAGTAACAACTATAACACCAATGGCAAAACGTGCACATGATATATCATTAGTTACTTTAGCACAAGATTTTGCTTATCGAGTTTCAAAACGTCAAGAAAATTATCAAAAATTTTCAGCATCATTATTAAAAAATAAAAGTTTACTTGTACCAACACGTTTAGCACTTAAAAGACAACGAGCAGCATTTAAAGGTCCTTCATTACAATATGAACCTATTCGATCAGAAAAATTTCAAATTGAATTAGGAAGTTTAAATGATGAAAGAGGACAAAGTAATCGAATTGATACACGTCAAACAACAACACCAGAAGATGATAATCGAATTAAATCAACATCAAATCAAACTAGTTCATTAAGAGAAGGTACTCCTCATACAATACCAACAGATATTTCACTCATGTATAGGTATGTTTAATAAAATTAATAGTTCAAAGAAATTCAAAATTAGGTTTTCATAGTCTATGCTGTATTTTTTTTAATTGATAGACATCATCATGATAAGCTTTGCTCCGTTTAAAATCATGTGACCTTTATCTAGAGCATATATTTTTTTATCCAAATGTTGATTTTTTGATTCAGGTTAAACCGTGTGAAAATTGACATCGCACCATCATACAAACGTTGCTTTCTAAAAGAAAAAAAAAGAAAATCTTTGACCCTGAAACTAAAAATATCTATTCAATGAATTTTTCATAAAATAATTATTTAGAGAAAAACCTTTATATCTCCATCCAATAACTGGTCATTTTATTGTACAATATGTTGAGGACAATGGTAGTCCATCACCATGTTCATATGTTTTACCACGTAAATCATGTCGAGAAAAAAATGCTCCTGCATATACATTTGGAACGAGATGTTTAGTTGAAAAAAGTATTTTTGAAAATTTTAAAACAATGAACAAATCTAAAAACTTCTTTTTTTTTTTTTTATTGTTCTCATATAGAAGGTGGTTCACGTACTGCTTGGCAAAAACAATGGTTTGCTAATTCAGATCCATTTACAACAAAAGTTGATTTTAATCGTGAATGTGCATGGCCAACACCATTTCATTATTATGCACAACCAACAATAGGTCTTCAATCAACAAAACCTACTTTTCCAGCATGGTCTATTGCAACACGTCTACAAAATAGTCCACCATTAATATTAGACAATAATCCTGCTCCAGATACATATGATACAACAACAGCTTTTCGAAAATTAACAGCAAAAAGTACACCAATAACATTAAAATCACGAATTGGTGGGACAAAAATATCTACTAATCAATCAATAGGTATAAACATTTCCTTTTAGCTTGTTTTTTTTACCTTGAAATATTGAATAATATTTTTCTATTTTTGTATAAACAGATATAACACCAGGTCCTGGTGCCCATGATGAAAGTAAATTTCTTTCGAATAGACGTTCATCACCAAAACATTCATTTGGTAAACGTATTCCATCTTCACTATGTCAAGATCCTTATGTTAATGTTATACCATCAATACGAACCTAACACAAATACTTTTTATTTCATTTGTATTTTCTTTTTTTTTTTTTTTTTCGTTTTTGTATTGGTTGGTGGTAAAAAGTTTGATAAAAAAAAATATATATATATATTGCTTTCGAAAATTTTCGATGTAAATATTTACTTAAAGTGGTGAAAAAAAAAACCATTGTGGCTTCTATAAGTGCAATTAAAGGTTTCGTGTCAGCTGCAGAAATTATAGACAAGTTTCTTATGTATCGACTTTACTTTTTATTACATTCAACTAATCAATATGAAGACGATACCAAAAAAAAAAAACTAATAAAAAAAGAAAAAGAAGGGCATAAAGTGTAGCCGTCTTTACATTATATACACAGATGTGAGACAAAAATTCACCGTACAATTATGTTAAAACGTAAAGAACTAACATTATAAGTTCTAAGATGAATAATCGTCTTCAAACATCCGTTCTTCCGGTACTAATTCGCCGATTAAATATTTTTCTAATATCACCCACGCGTCTAAACTATGAGGCTTATCAGCAAAAGCCATTGTCGCATCTGTTCCAGCATATTCAAGCATGATATCAGAACCAGCTGGATGCTAAAAAAGTAAAAGAAAAAAAATAAAAATTTTTATTCAAATCTATTTTATTTACATACCTCTCTCATAAAATCTGTTAAATCATAAACACGATCTCGTATAACCATCCAACAATCTGTTTCAGTACAATGTGCTGAAACATCTTTAAGTGTATATTGTTTTCGTTTTGGTAATTGTCCTACTGTTAAGTTCAGTAATTTACTTTGAAGATTATTTAGAACGTCTAATAAATAAAAGAAAAAAAAAAAAAGTAAAGATCAATTTTGAATAAGTAAAATAAAACTTACGAAAAAAATCCATTGGAATTGCAAAAAAAGCTTGTAATAATCGTATATGTCTTGTTTAAGGTTTCTAATATTTTTTATAAAATATGAAGAAAAATGGGTCAGCATCGTCTGTATTTATATTATCATTGTTAACAGAGATAGCATGATGAAATGACGAGAGAACAGAGAAAAAAAAAATAGGAGGTGTGTTTCGTGATATCAATTTCTATTGGTGCATTTATTTTTCTTTTTCTCTCTCTAGTTTATTTCATCAGCATATCGATCTACTGGATTGAAGCCAAAATAATAAAAAAAAAAGAAGTGTACAAAAGAGATATTAAACTTGATGACTGTCGGCAGTATATGAAAAGAAAAAAGAACCCAGTTGACTTATTGATGAGACAATTTTTAGGTGAAAAAAGCGAATGGGTACTTTTTGATATATAGAAATAATATTAATAATTCGATCTTTTTTGATTATCGGAAGATACGGTGAATAATGATATTGTATGATAATCTTTTCGTTTTGTATGTGAAAAAAAGCAGACAGTATCTTGAAAATGGACGATAGTGTGAGAAAGTTATTTTTTTTTTTAAATATTTTCAATCTGAATTGCATCTTTTACATATTTGCCATGATGTATACGAGGCATCAATCATCTATGAATCTAACAGAGGAACATTAAGAAGCATAAGGATGATGAAATATTTGTATGCAAACGATAGGCTGTTTCATTTTGTTTGCTCTCATGGTTGAATAGCTGACTAAAATAGAAAGGTGAATAAAGCACATAACGTCAACCTTGCAGGACGATCGATGTTTATAAATATCCATGAACTGAATAAATGTGCTCATAATACATACATTCTATGATTCAAAATGGATAACAATATTTACAGTTAGATAATCTTATATCACATTATTGTTTATTTTAATCTATGTCTTGAACAAGCAATCTTTCACTTATAGTTTTAGTGTAAAATGAACGAAAAAAGTGCTTTCATGCCAATATGTTCTCTAAATAGAGAAGTTACAAAAGTAATTTTTAGGAAAAAAAAAAAAAATTAAAATTTGATTTAACGTAAATGTTATAATGCAGGCAGTGTCTTGGAACACTTAAAAAATCATGAGAAATGATCTTGTAAAGCAGAGGTCAATAGGTCTCTTTTTTATTTCAATAGTATATCATTACTTCAGATAAGAAATTATAGAAAACAAGAACTGATCGAATATTCTGTTTTTGTTATTCTTGTCATACTCACAAAGGATGCAAAGAACAGTGTGATAATATTTGAAATTCTAAAACGATTTTTTTCTATCAGTTTATATTAATACGACAAAAAAAATATAATATCATTACATAATGAATATTGAATAGAATTAATATGTTTATCATAAGTAGTTTTCTTTTAAAATTAGTTGTTTTATTTCTATACAGTATTTTAGGTAATTACATCAAATATTTGCAACATACGTTTTCTGTTCTCAAATATTAAACATTTATGCGCACACCCTCTTTCGTTCGTATCTTTCTTTTTTTTCCTCTTCTATCGTTGTAAAAATATCGTCAGACACACCCCACCCCATTACTATGCTGTTGTACCTTTTCCAACAACGCTATTCAATAGTTTTTGCTTTTTTTCGTATTCATTATTATTTTAAGATAGACCTTGAGCTCTATAAACTGCATGTATATCCATTATTCATCCGAAATTATATAATCCTACTACGTCGTTATTTTCCTTCAATATCATCAGCATCGTTGTGCAGATTGTTATACAATTTGAGAAGACAAAAAAACAAAAACACCGAAAAAAAAGAAAAACGTTTGCTATATATAGAAAGAAAAACAAACAAACAAAAAAAGCGTCTATGACGGCCATTCCAAGAAAAAAAGAAGATAGTTAAGATTCGATGTGAGACCGTGTAAAACGCAAGAGAGAGAGAAGAGTAAAAATAATAATGTGATCTGCACAAAACAAATTACAAATCGAAAGAAAAAAAGACTGGATGAATGTAATGAATTCTCTCTCTCTCTCTCTCATCAAACAAACAAAAAAAAAATATGTCATTTTCGATCAAGAAAAATAAAGTCGATTTAACACGTTAACGTTGTGATGGACCCCAGCCTAAAATACAAAAAAAAAAAATTATTCATCAATTTTTTATTTCAACATAAAAAAAAACAAAAAATTTACATACTTGAATTGGAAGAATACATGTAGGATTGTTGTTGACCATAATATTGACTTGAATTTGGTGCGTAATTATTAGTATTATTATTATTATTATTATTCCAACCACTAGCTGCAGACCTATAGAAATAAAAATTTTTAAAGAAAAAAATAAAACTAAATTTTTTCATAAATCCTACTGAGAATAAGGATCCCATGATTGTGGTCCATTATTATTCCACTGTTGTTGAGAATTATAGTACTGTTGTTGTGAATAATTTGGTTGCTGATAATTACCACCATACTTTCCATAACCGGCATTATTACCACTACCACCACCACCACCGCCGCTACCTTTAATATAATATGTTATTTAAAATATTTTTGATGAAAACAAAAAAAAAAAGAATACAAACTCATATAATTCTGATTCATTGGTGGACCATAAGAATTTTGAGAATACTAAAATTAATTAATACAAAAAAAAAGAAAAAGCTGTTAACGTAATCCTCTTGAAATTAAAATATAAAATACAATGTAGCTGTTGTTGATAATTACTTATACATTTCTTCACTAATCTTTCAGAAATATTACAAGGAAATAGTTCATATACAGTGGACGCCAAAAGTCTCGCACCACTTTTTTGTTTTGAGTCGTGTATTTAAACTACACAACATTAATTCAATTCCATCATATGTTTGGATAGCAGAGATCGAGTACTATATATGTACATTTGTTCAATTCGAAAAATCCTTGAATATGAAATAGAATAAGAAAAACAAACTCCAGTACTAAGAAAAAAATTATATAAAAAAAGACAAAATGATAATAAAAATATTTGGAAGGCTTTTTGCTGTGCAATAGGAATTTCTTTATATGGCTTTTGTAGAGCTTTTGACGGTGCATCTTTTGAAAAAAAATCAAGATGCTATCATTTTCTTAAGCCGACATATGTGCAAAATATAACAGTCTTCTAGACATTTTTATTATGTTAAGTACGGTGGAAAGTAGCACTATCAGGGATTATTGTTTTGATTTTGGGTATAAGAAGAAAGCATCAAAAGAAGTCAATAGGATTTATTCTTACAGATTTTGTAGAGCTTTTCACGGCGCATCTTTTGAAATAAAACCAAGATTTTATCATTTGTTATTGCAGAGATATTCACAAAACAAACTATGTTGGAAATATTTTTGAAACACTGGGTATTTCACAGTGTTTAATATTTTGATTATAATACCGTCATTTCTCAATGAAATTCAAAATATTTTTTTACCAAAATGATCAGCGAAAAAAGCTCTACAAAGTCTGTTAAAATGATAAGTTTTCTGAATACTTTGAGTTTTTTATGGTTGACTGCCTATGAAAGTATCCTATAACAATAATATCATTTTGTCTTTTTTTATGTAATTTTGTTCTTAGTACTGGAGTTTGTTTTTCTTATTCTATTTCATATTCAAGGATTTTTCGAATTGAACAAATGTACATACATAGTACTCGATCTCTGCTATCCAAACATATGATGGAATTGAATTAATGTTGTGTAGTTTAAATACACGACTCAAAACAAAAAAGTGGTGCGAGACTTTTGACGTTCACTGTATTATAACAATATTTTATTCATATAAAATCAATGATCATATATCAATGTATTACTAAGGTCAAGGACGTTGCTACGGCATCTATCACATAAGAAGCTACGGGTACTTTCAGACACAATCGAGTCCAAAGATTAATTTATTATTAAGGACGTAATTTTATTTTTTTTCTGTTTCGGGTGCCAGGTTTTATTTATCATCATGTCTGAGTGTTTAGTTTTTCTCGGGCTCGAGTTCGAAAAAACATTTACTTGTAGTTTCTTATTGTCATGATTAGTAGAAGAGTCAACATTTGTTATTACTACATTTCAACAACGTATTTAGACTATGTTTTACAAAGTTTGTTTTTTTTTTTTTTTCATTTATTCAACTTACAGAATCATATTGATTATTTTTATAATTTTGATTATTCATACCACTTCCATAATTCGATACATTATTTCCAGTATTATTTGATTCATCACGTCCCCAACCACATTTAACTGTATAACCATGAACATCTGAACCATGTAAATGACAAATAGATTGACAAGCATTTTCTTTGGTAGCAAATCTTATAGTATAAAATTTTTTATTTTAAAATATTAAGAAAAAAAAAGAAAAAGAAATTTTACCTAACAAAAGCATATCCTTTTTCTTTGAATATACGTATTTCTATTATTTTACCATATGGTTCAAAACATGAACGAACTAAATCTTCACTAACATCACCACAATTACCAAAATATACAGTCGTATTTTTATCACTCGTTCGATTCCATACTTCATTAAAATCAAGTTTTGATGACGAAGATTCTTGACCGTATTGAATATTATGTGAATCTAAATAATTTTTTATTTTAAATGAAAAGAAGTTTTTTTTTTCTATTGCATTTATATAATATGTAGATCCTATTTTCAAAAAATGAAATTTATCATTATTCGAATGTTTCTATGATGAATTGAATATTATACAGATAGAATTTCATATTCGATCTCGAATAGATTGTTAAATGTTTTAGATAGTTTGAAAAAAAGAATTAATCTAATTCTGGAGATGTCTTTATCTGATTCCAATGATTTTTTTTCTCTATACACATAAGAAAATGTACTCGTAGAAATTGTAAAAGTATTTGAATTCTTATAATTTCTTTTAAATTTTATACATATATTTTTGAATTTGACTCTTTTGATATTGAATCATAAATTAACAAATTTTGTTCATAATTAGATCTATTGAATAAGCAAATATTCTGAAAATTTTCAAAGTATTCTCCTTTTCAATATAAAGAAATACAAGTATACCTTTTTGAAAGTAGTCGAAATTCAAAGAGGTTCTCTCGGACGTTTATGTTAAAAAAAGAAGCTTAATATGCTGTGTTATTTCTTTTAAAAAGTCATTATGAGCAAAAATTAAAGTCAGACTTCATATTATTAATTTGTAAAATATTGATCTCGTACCTCGATTTCGTGTACTAGTAATTGGCTCATTGTTTGGTCCTTTTCTTGTCGCCCAATTTGTACGTATCTTTCGTGTACCAAGCCATTGACCATTCATACTGGTAATAGCTGTTTCAGCATCCTGGAAATAACGATGAAGTCTTTGTTTCTTTGCATTGATATACTTACACTTTGATTGGTAAAAGATATAAAACAATATCCTAAATTAGAAGAAAATAAAGATTAACTTCATCAATATTAAATTAAAATATAAACCTTTTGGTTTTTGTGTATCAGTAAATTTAGCAATTTTGATTTCTCTATAAAATAACAAATGTGTAAAGATATAAAAAAAAAACGGCAATGTTCATTTTTGATTTCTTACGAAATTTCTCCGAAAGGAGAAAATGCTTCGCGTAATGCATTCTGATCGAGTTCAGGTGCTAGATCACCAACAAATATGTGAAAATGTTCTAGAAAATAAAATCATATAATCTATTGTTTAAGAATTAAACTCACTGCTTGTATCAACTTTATTTATTCCACTCGCTGATGTTGTTGCCCAATTTACTTTAATTTCTCTACCCATAACTAAACGTTTGTTCATTGCAAGTAATGCATTTGCTGCTGGTTGATGTTCAGCAAATTCAATAAATGCATATGGATCACTGCTTGGCTAAAAAAAAATATTATTCATGAAATGCATCGTCGTATCATTAAATACATGCTTCATGAATGATTTTACAATTTCTACATGGTCCCATCTGTGAGAATAGAGCCATTAAAAGTTCTTCAGAGACAGACGGATCGAGATTACCAACATATCTGTGAAAGAAAAAATAAATGAAATAAAATTAGAAAAAAAGGAACTTTTAAATCGATTGTATTTACAATGTTCGAGAGTTGACATTTTCCTCGAATGGAGAGTGCATTTTTCTACTAACAGATATTAATACTTATCTATTTAAAAAGAATAAAACAACAAAAATATTAAACGAAAAAGAGATGGATCACCATTATACATATAGAATGCTAGTTTGTGTAACTATATTAATTTTCAACCATACATTAATTAGCAGCACTAACAATGTATTTCCAATATGGATTGTACTGCAATCCACATTTTCAAGGTTAGTACCAATACATGTTCTCCATGAACATTAAGATATTCTTTTATTAAATATACTTTGAATGTACATGATTGTTCAGTAGTACAACTTAACATCACTGATTTATATATAGATGTCGCTTATATCTGGTCTGTGTCAATAGAAAAATGTACAGAATGTATACTTCATTCTTCTACGTTAAACTATGAAAACAAGTTAATAGTTTGAAATGCATAATATAATTATTTAGTTTAGCTTTAAAATTGCTTGAAAGCTGATTTTCTAGGTCTGTTAGAATTTGTTGTGATCCCACAAATCCGATATCTATATCACTTTTTTTCTATTTCCATGAAATATGCCTTTTAAATTCGCATCACATCATCGTGTTTATTGCAAAAGAAACAATCACAAATTACTTGTCAGAGGTCCAAACATGCCACGTTTTTTAGGCCTGCACGGCCTGTCAAGTTTTTCAAGCGAGTACAATAATGATGACAGACTAGAAACCAGAGATCCAAACAGGGCACTAGGGCTAGTGCTCAACCTGATCCTGACCTGCCTGTCATAGGCATCACCTATGGTTTTCAGACTAGTGCAAGTCGGAGGTCCAAGCAATTTTTGGCCTGTCTGGGCCTGTCACTTGCACTAGTCTGAAAATCATGGGTGATGCCTATGGCAGGCGGGTCAGGATCAGGTTGAGCAATAGCCCTAGTGCCCTGTTTGGACCTCTGGTTTCTAGTCTGTCATCATTATTACACTCGCTCGAAAAACTTGACAGGCCGTGCAGGTCTACAAAACGTGGCCTGTTTGGACCTCTGTTACTTATTGAATTATACTGTGCTATTGTGTCAGATCCTGTTAGTCATAAGCGATGAAGCTCTAAATAATCGTGTTCTCATTGATTTCAGTTAGTTGGATTCTAATGACTACATTCGTCGTAGGTTGTATTATCGTTCCTGAATACTGCGAAAATTCGAGACATATTATCATTTTCTTTGATGATGAAACGTTTATTTGTTTGTATAACAAAAATTTCTTTGAACAAACTCTAGTCTGTTCAACCGTGACTACCGTACATTTACAAAAAACAAAATGGCCATGATAATACGTAAATGAAGAAAGCACGTATTTTTATAGATACATTCATATTTCGACAGCATCAAGCCAATCCATCTAATCGATTACAATATTTAACTTTTCTAAATATATTATAGAAGGTTGTAAAAAAAAAATACTCCCTTTTCAAGTAATTCAAAACTCAATAGAATTCAGAAGTTTCTAATTAATTTCTGCTATCGGTAATAAACTTAACATTAAACGGTGTAGAAATCGATTATTACTTATATAATCAATGATATACGATGCTTGCGAATAAAATATCATGATTCTAACAATGCGATAACAAATATCATTGATGTATAGATGCAGTCGATGTTCGCATGCGATTAAGTGATAATCGTATAAATTGACTTTGTATAGTAGTAAACATCTTTTAATGGCATGCAATCAAAGTAGAAACACCGTTTCAAGATATTTTTCACGATATACTTTTCAAATTATGCTTCGCACAAAATGCCGCACGCTTCAAACTATATATAATAGTTAGGCCAGAATTGGTTGCAATCGCAAGTGAATCCTTTTACTATTGACTTTGAACAATATAATTGTTGTAGTATTCATCCATTTTTTAATGTTGCTCACTATCAAATAAACTAATCAATGATCTCTAAAATCTGTTTTCATAAGTTTACATCATTTATAACTCCCTAATCTCTTTTAATAATATATATCTCATCCCTAAATTGAGATAGATCAAATATTTAGGTTCTTTCCAGATATAAATATTACCGGTTGCTCTTCATAATTCAAGCAAAGCTAGTAAATAAGGTCAAGTTTGATGATTTGATTCGCTTGCACAGTCTTGAAAATCATTGAAATGATTTTGAAAAACGGTTAAAAAATATTTTACGTTATCAAACGAACAAAGATACCATGAACACGTCTCCGAAATCATCTCAAAGTTAACAAAATCACAAAACTGATTAAACTGAAATAGAATTCGAATAAGTAAAAGCCGAAAACAAATAAAACATTGAATTAAACAGCGTCCAGAGAAACACATGCTATAAAAACAATTATCAGCAAGTTTGCAACAATAGATTGAAAATTAGTGCATTGCAATATTAGAAATGTTAAGTTTGACATTTTAGGTTGTTAACTAAGTTTTGTAGCATAGAAGAGCTGAATAAAGACGTCAATTAAGCAATTAAAATACGTTGTGTGGGTGCTTTCGATATTTAGACAAGCAATAGCAAGTAGAAAAAAGATTTATTTTATTTATTTGTCTTATATTTGACAAGATATATTAAATCTAGACAGAAAGCAATCATAGTGTTTTCTTTAAATTCTTGTTTCGTCTATGGCGCATGTTAAACGAAAGAGAGAAAAAAATCTTTTGTTGTGTACTATACGTGATGCCTAGTTTTACCTTTCTTTCATCTTACGAGAGCCTGTTATTCGCCTGATAGACATATTATCACGTCTGTCTACATTCATATCGTTTTCTCAATCATAGCTCTACAAAAATTATTTGTTGACACAATAGTCCTGACATTGGACGTATTTAACTGCCATGACCTTGCCTTTCACAATCCCGTACGTTATCTGACAGTTTCCGGTGAAGCTGCATTGTTCAAGGTTCAAAGTATTCGAATTGTTAATTCATTTCTACGTATATCAAATGCTTTTTGATGTTTATGATCTTCATAATGAAAACATCAATGATATTAAAATACAAACGTGTCTTATCCTTAACAATGATTCATAAATTGTTAAACCATGTATACAGTGCTCGATTGGATATTGTCATCAGCTTTTTACTAAGAAACGGAAGAAAGTGACAAAAAATATTTATAGCAAATCTTCTTTCAGATGCCTATCACTACTGCTTCTACTACAGCAACCAATTTGTCTTTCCAGATGACTGTCACTACTGATAATGTACTCATAACTACACATTGTCCCTTAATATCAGGCGTTGCTACTATGATAATTGCTTGCGAGAGCATTTTGAACAATATTAATTAACTCAAACACTGTTAAGTCAAGTCGAAAATTTATCTTTTTGATGGACAGAACCTAGCATCACATTACAGACTCCCTAGTAAAGATGTACGATTAGCACTAGAAGAAGTATTGGAGTCCATGGCTACTCATTTTTACTTGAGGCTCATTCGTTTCATCGGTATCAGATATATTGGTAAAAACACCAGTGTTTCTGTTTGGTTCTATAGTGCATGATTTACTATTTTCATGTGTGTCATGTAGTGGGCTTGATTAGCTATCAAGATAAAATATGATAAAATATTTGCTTAAATATTGAAACGGCTTTTCAACGTCAAAAAAAGTTCAAATAACTATTCTTGATTACAAAAGTATCCTTTCAATCAATTGAAATCAATGCCCATCAATAAGTACTTTTCGATCAGTCTAAAAGACACCTTCTTTGATTCTGAGACTAAATCTGATGAATCGAGTCTTGAAGACACTATCAATCAAGATGATCAAAAAAACTGATGACGAACATGACGTAGTTATTGATCCAGTCAACAATACGGTAGGTATTGATTTTCACTGTGTACGTGTATTTGATTCAATCACATCTACAACAATATCATCGTGTTTCAAAGTCAAAATCGATGAAAAACAAACATTTATGCACAAATAGAAAGTCAGTTGACTGCCAATGAATGGAACAACATCGCTATCATCTGAGCAACTAAGACGAGTAATTAGATAAACTAAAAGTGGCAAATACTTTTTTTATTGGCTGTGCCTTTTTCTACTTAGTTTCTATATTTTCTTTCTTTATCTAATGTAAAATTCTATTAAAAAGCTGTGAATCTTCAAGTGACTCGTTCCAAGTGTAAATTAGCAGAATGGCTCCATTAGAAAATAATTCAAAATCGATGGATGTCAGACAGAATATTTATAGTCGAAAATTCTACGGATTTTTCAGGTACCTTCCTGTCAACTTCTTGTGTTTTTCTGCAGGAGACAATCCGAAGTCACCCAGGCATTTTCCAACATGAAACACTGTGTACAAGTTCTATCAATTGCTAGAATTTTTCTTCTAGTCAGCTCTGACAAAATCCGCTTGCTTTCTTTATGCAAAATTACCGACTCAGAATCAACTAATAAATATTTACAAATGAAAAAGAAATCAAAAAGACCTGTTTTTTTCCTTGAACAAGCACGAAATTCTGGATTTTTCATCTAAGTACGTTGGTTGTTTTAGCAAAAATGCCTACCTGCCACTTCTTATTCTATTTATTTCCATACATAGAGCTACTAATGAATGATATATATCTACAATTATTTTAATTCTATCTAAAAAAAGTGCTTTTACATCTATCACCATATCACTTGATGTCGTACTTCGAAAAAAAAAAAAGTCAATTGAATATTGAATCAACCTATGTCAACAATTGTCTTTGAATTTAATCAACATTTGTAAGAGTAAGTGATGTTAATAAAATAAAATAAAAAAAAGCAAAAGAGAAAAAGATTAATGACTTGTCATGACATTTTTTTTTCTTTTTCATTACAGGTAGTGTATAAAAGTATAATATATATTTGATCTCGACTATCTCTGCACAACTTCTGTTGCTATCTTTTTTTAGTATGAAAGCACGCGTTCAAACAACGTAGGTTGGTTCTATATCATGATAGTGGAAAAAAAAAGAAAGAAAAAAGAAAGTACCGATACTTGAAGAAAAGAAGAAAAAAAAACGAGAGTTAA